GACCCCGCTGCACCCCCAATCCCTGCTGACCCCCCATGACCTTGCCGGACCCCCACCCATTCCCCCACCCACCATGACCCCACCACCCCCCAAGCCCGCCGCCATCACCTTGGCGTCGCCCAGGAACCTGGTGAGGCACAGGAAGACGCTGCCCCGCAGGCGGAAGTGCTTGGCGGCGTAGGCGTCGGGCACGTGGGGGATGTCGGTGTGCGGCGCGAAGGCGTCGCCGCTCCAGCGGTAGACGAGCGGCCGGCGCGCGGCGCCACAGAGCACCAGGGCCGGCCGCCCGCCCAGCTCCAGGAACTCCAGGTGGGTGTCGCGCTGCCACGGCCGCAGCGCCTGGTGCGGGTAGAAGCCGCCCGAGGCCCAGCGGAACACGGTGCTGGTGCCGCCCTTGGAGCTGTCGGCCACCCCCAGGTAGAGGTGCCCGGCCAGGCGCGCGGCGGCCACGGCGTGGGGCCGGCGCAGGCGGCCGGCGCCCAGGGCCTGGTGGCGCACGAAGGCCGAGCCGGGGCCGCCCGAGCGCCGCCACACCCAGGAGCCGCCGCCCAGCTGGGCCACCACCAGCAGCAGGGTGTCACCCAGCGGGACCGGGTGGCAGGCCACCGGTGAGGAGCCTGGGGGGACGGAGGGGACGTCGGCGGGGACACGGGGGCAGCAGGGACACCGGGGACAGCAGGGACCTTGGGGACAGCGGGGACACTGGGGACAGCGGGGACACTGGGACAGCAGGGACCTTGGGGACAGCAGGGACCTTGGGGACAGCGGGGACACTGGGGAGAGCAGGGACCTTGGGGACAGCGGGGACACTGGGGACACCGGGGACCTTGGGGACATCGGAGATGCTGGGGACCTTTGGGACCTTGGTGGTTATTGGAGGCCTCGGGGACATTTGGGGACATTTGGGGACCTTTGGGGACCTTTGAGCACCTTGAGGACCTTGGGGACATCGGGGCAATTCCTTTGTTCTCCCCCAAGGTCATTTTGGGGACCCTCAGCCCATTTTTGGGGTCCCCGAGGCCATTTCTGGGGGGGTCACCCCAACTCTTGGTGTCCTCGGGTCCCTCTTGATGTTCCTCACCCAACTTTAACCATTCCCACCCCATTTTTAACCATTCCCACCCCATTTTCCCCATTCCCACCCCGTTTTCCCCATTTGTCCCATTTTTTCGCAATTTTCTCCATTTTTTTCCATTTTCCCCATTCCCCCCCATTTCTCCCCCTTTTCCCCAATTTTCTTTTATTTTCACCATTTTTCTCCCGTTTTCTCCTCCATTTTACTCCATTTCCCCCCACCCCCCCTGTTTTTTCCCATTTCCCCCCATTTATTCACTATTTTCCCCCTTTTTCCCCATTTTACCCCGTTTCTCTCACTGTTGGTTATGGTGGGGGAACAGAACCTCCCCCCTATTTTTTTTCATCATTTTTCCCCCCATTTTTCCTCATTTTTGCCCCTTTCCCCCTCTTTTTCTTGTTTTTTTTTCACTGTTCTATCCCTTTTTCCCCATTTCCCTCTATTTTATCCCGTTTTCCACCATTTTAACCCCATTTCCCCCATCAATTCCCATTTTTCCCCATTTCCTCCTTCTTTTTCAACATTTTCTCCCCGTTTTTCTCCATTTCCTTCAATTTTCCCCAATTTTCCCCCCATTTCCTCCATTTTCTCATAATTCTTTCAATTTTTTCACCATTTTCCCATTTCCACCCTTTTTAACCATTTTTTTCAGTTTTTTCCATTCCCCCATTTTTCCCTATTTTTCCCCCATTTCCCTATTTCCCCCATTTTTTCCCCATATCCCCCCATTTTTTATTTTTTCCATTTTACCTGATTTCCCCCCTTTTCCACCATTTTAACCCCATTTCCCCCATCTACTCCCATTTTTTCACCATTTCCTCCTTCTTTTTCAACATTTTCTTCCCATTTTTCTCCATTTCCCCCCCATTTCTCCCATTTTCTCAGAGTTCTTTCAGTTTTACACCATTTTCCCATTTCCCCCCATTTTTTCCCCATTTCCCCATTTTCCCCCCATTTTTTCCCATTTCCCCCCATTTCTCTCGCTGTTCACGATGGTGGGCACACAGAACCTCCCACCCCATTTTCCCCTCATTTCCCCCATTTTTCCTTCGTTTTTTTCCCATTTTCCCCCAATTTTTCCCACTTTTCCTCCCATTTTCACCAATTTATCCCCCATTTTCCCAATTTCCCCGTTTTTCCCCATTTCCCCCTTTTCTCTCACCGCTGACGACGCTGTGGGCTCAGAATCCCCCCCCCAAGCTGCTCCCACTCCCACCCCATTTTCCCCAATTTCCCCAAATTTTTGCCCCATTTTCCCTCATTTCCCCATTTTGCTCCATTTCCCTCATTTTTTCGCCATTTCCCCCAATTTTTTTGCCATTTCCCCCCATTTTTTTCCACAATTTTTCCCATTTTCCCCCGTTTTTCCCCCATTTCTCTTGCTGTTGAGGACGCTGTGGGCTTGGACACTCCCTCTGAGCTCCTCCCAGTCCCACCCCATTTTCCCCAATTTCCCCAAATTTTTCCCTATTTCCCCCCATTTTTACCCCATTTCCCCATTTTGCTCTAGTTCCCCCCAGTTTTTCGCCATTTCCCCCCATTTTTTCGCCATTTCCCCCCATTTTTTCCCCAATTTTTCCCATTTTTCCCCATTTTTCCCCCATTTCTCTCGCCGTTGATGATGCGCTGGGCTCAGAACCTCCCCCCAAGCTGTTCCCACTCCTCCCCATTTTCCCCATTTCTCCCCCATTTTTTCCTCATTTTTCCCCCATTTTTTTGCCATTTTCCCCTTTTTTCCCCGTTTTTCCCCCGTTTTCCCCCATTTTTCGCCCGTTTTACCCCATTTCTCTCGCTGTTGAGGACGCTGTGGGCTCAGAAGCTCCCCCCGAGCTGTCCCCACTCCCACCCCATTTTCCCCATTTCTCCCCCGTTTTTTCCCCATTTTCCCTCATTTTTTCGCCGTTTCCCCCCATTTTTTGGCCGTTTTCCCCCATTTTTTCCCGTTTCCCCCCATTTTTGCCCCGTTTCGCTCACCGTTGATGACGCGCTGGGCGCGGAAGCTGCCCCCCAGCTGGTCCCACTCCAGCAGGGCGCAGGCTCCGGCCGCCGGCTGCGCCAGGGCCACCCCAGGGTGCCCCCCGAGCGCGAAGGGCTCGGCCCCGAGCGAGGAGAACGGCAGCGCCTGGAACGGCCGCAGCTCTGGGGACACGGGGACAGTTGGGGACACCCCGGGGACAGCGTGGGGACATGGCTGGGGATCTGGGGACAGCTTGGGGACATCGCTGGGGACATGGGGACAGCCCGGGGACAGCTTGGGGACATGGCTGGGGATCTGGGGACAGCTTGGGGACATCCCTGGGGACATGGGGACAGCCCGGGGACAGCTTGGGGACAGCTTGCTGACATCTTGGGGACATGGCTGGGGACATAGGGAGAGTTGGGGACATCCCCAGGGACATTGGACAGCCCCAGGCCCTCCCAGTCCCATTCCCCCCCACAAAATCCCCCATCCCAGTCCCTGCCAGTATATCCCAGTATAAACCAGTACAAACCAGTCCCTGCCAGTATATCCCAGTTTCTCCAGTATATCCCAGTACAAACCAGTACAAGCCAGTCCCCTCCATGCCCCATTTTCACCCCCAAACCCCCCGGATTTTCTCCCCCCGGTCCCTCCCAGTTTGTCCCAGTCCATCCCAGTATACCCCAGTATATCCCAGTCCCATTTTCCCATCTAAAATTTCCAATTTTACCCCTGAAATTCCCATTTCTCACCCTAAAACCACCAGAGTTTTCCCCCCAGTCCCTCCCAGTATAACCCAGTATGTCCCAGTCCCTCCCAGTCCCATTTTCCCCCCCAAAATCCCCTGGATTTTCTCCCCCCAGTCCCCCCCAGTCCCTCCCAGTCCCTCCCAGTTCCCTCCCAGTCCCCCCCAGTCCCCCCAGTCCCTCCCAGTCCATCCCAGTTCCCTCCCAGTGCCTCCCAGTCCCTCCCAGTTCCCTCCCAGTCCCCCCCAGTCCCTCCCAGTCCCTCCCAGTTCCCTCCCAGTTTTTCCCAGTTCCCTCCCAGTCCATTCCAGTCCATCCCAGTTCCCCCCAGCTCCCCCCAATCCCCTCCCAGTTCCCCCCCATCTTTTCCCAGTATATCCCAGTCCCTCCAAGTCCCCTCCCAGTTCCCTCCCAGTTTGTCCCAGTTCCCTCCCAGTTTTTCCCAGTTCCCTCCCAGTCCATTCCAGTCCATCCCAGTTCCCCCCAGTCCCCCCGGTCCCCTCCCAGTTCCCTCCCAGTCCCCCTCAGTCCAACCCAGTATATCCCAGTTTGTCCCAGTCCATCCCAGCTTGTCCCAGTTCCCTCCCACTTCCCCCCAGTCCCCCCCAATCTCTTCCCAGTTCCCCCCAGTCCCTCGCAGTCCCATTTTTAACCCCTAAAACCCCCTGGATTTTCTCCCCCCAGTGCCCCCCCTGTCCCTCCCAGTCCCTCCCAGTTCCCTCCCAGTTCCCTCCCAGTCCCTCCCAGTATAAACCAGTCACCGTGGCGCTGGCACTGGAGCTGCCGGGGCCCGAGCAGTGCCAGGGCGGTGCCGGCCAGCGCCGCGGGGCCGTGGCAGCGGGCGCCGCCCTCGGGGCCGGGGCCGGGCTGGGCGCGCAGCCAGCGCAGCAGCCAGCGCAGCGCGCAGTCACAGCGCAGCGGGTTCCCCCGCAGGTCCCTGCGCCGGGCACAGCGGGGGACAGCGGGGGACAGCGGGGGACAGCCACGTCGGGGTCACCGCGTTGGGGACAGCCACGTCGGGGTCACCGCGTTGGGAACACCGGGGGACAGCCACGTCGGGGTCACCGCGTTGGGGACAGCCACGTCGGGGTCACCGCGTTGGGGACAGCGGGGGACACCGGGGGACGGCCACGTTGGGGTCACCGTGTTGGGGACACCACAGGTTGGGGACACCATGTTGGGGACACCACAGGGAGACCGCATTGGGGACACCATGGGGACACCGGGGGATACCACAGGGACACCACAGGGACACCGCATTGGGGACACCGGGGGACATCACAGGGACATCACGCCAGGGACACCACAGGTGGGCACGTCGGGGACACCACGGGTCGACGACACCAAGGGTCGACACATCGGGGACACCGCATTGGGGACACCGCATTGGGGACATCGCAGGGACACCACGGGGACACCACGGGGACATCCCAGGTTGGCACGTTGGGGACGCCATGGGTCGGGGACATCCCAGGTTGGCACGTTGGGGACACCACGGGTCGGGGACATCCCAGGTTGGCACGTTGGGGACGCCACGGGTCGGGGACATCCCAGGTTGGCACGTTGGGGACGCCACGGGTCGGCGCGTCGGGAGCACCGAGGAACGCCGGGTGGCACGAAGGGGCAGCGAAGCGGGGAAAAAACGGCAGCAAAGTGAGAAAAATGGCAAAATGTGGCACCAAAGTGACAAAAGTGGCAACAAAATGACAAAAAATGGCACCAAGGTGAGAAAAGCGGCACCAAAGTGGCACTAAATGCCACCAGGTGTCACCAGGTTTCAGCAGAGTGGCAAAAAGTGGCAGCAAAATGAGAAAAATGGCAACAAAATGACCAAAAATGGCACCAAATGGCACCAGAGTGGCACCAAGTGACATCAAAGTGGCACCAAAGTGGCACCAAAGTGGCACCAGGGGTCACCAAAGTGGCAAAAATGGCACCAAATGGCACCAGAGTGGCACCAGAGTGGCACTAAAAGGACATCAAATGGCACCAAGTTGCACCAGAGTGGCACCAGGTGGCACCAAAGTTACAAAAATGGCACCAAATGGCACCAGAGTGGCACCAAGTGGCACCAAGTGACATCAAAGTGGCACTAAGTGGCACCAGGGGTCACCAAAGTGGCAAAAAATGGCACCAAATGGCACCAGAGTGGCAAAAATGGCACCAAATGGCACCAAAGTGGCACTAAAGGGACATCAAGTGGCACTAAGTGGTGCCAGGGGTCACCAGAGTGGCAAACGTGGCACCAAAGTGACAAAAAGTGGAACCAAAGTGGCATCAAATGGCACCAAGTGGCACCAAAGTGGCACTAGGTGGTCCCAAAGTGGCAAAAAGTGGCACAAAAGTGAGAAAAATGGCACCAAAGTGGCACTAAATGTCACCAGGTGTCACCAGAGTGGCAAAAAGTGGCAGCAAAGTGACAAAAATGGCACCAAAGTGACAAAAATGGCACCAAATGGCACTAGAGTGGCACTAAAGGGACATTGAGTGGCACTGGAGTGGCACTGAATGGCACCAAAGTGGCCCCAGGTGGCACTGGAGTGGCACTGAAGTGGCACTGAAGGGACATCGGGTGGCATCGAATGTCACCAAATGCCACCAGAGTGGCACAAAATGGCACCAAACGGCAGCAAAGTGACAAAAAGTGGCACCAAAGTGGCACCAACCCTCCCAACCCCCCAGTGTCCCCAAAGGTCATCAAACGTCCCCAATGTCCCCAACCCCCAAATGTCCCCAATGTTCCCAATGTCCCCAACCCCCCAATCCCCTCAATGTCCCCAAACGTCCCCAAATCCCCCAAATGTCCCCAATGTTCCCAATGTCCCCAAATCCCCCAAATGTCCCCAATGTCCCCAGTGTCCCCAACCCCCGAATGTCCCCAATGTCCTCAAATGTCCCCAAAATCCCCAACATCCCCGATGTCCCCAATGTCCCCAACCCCCCCAATGTCCCCAATGTCCCAAATGTCCCCAACCCCCCCAAATGTCCCCAACCCCCCCAATGTCCCCCAGTGTCCCCAATGTCCCCAACCCCCCCAGTGTCACCCACAGGTGGCCGAGGTTGGGCAGCTCCTGGAAGAGGCCGCGGGGCAGCGACTGCAGGAGGTTGTCGGCCAGACTCCTGCGGGGACAGCGGGGACATTGGGGACATCGGGGACATTTGGGGACATTGGGGACATCGGGGACATTGGGGACATCGGGGACATTGGGGACATTGGGGGGATTGAGGACACTGGGGACATTGGGGACATTGGGGACATTGGGGACATTGGGGGACACTTGGGGACATTGGGGACATTGGGGGACACTTGGGGACATTGGGGACACTTGGGGACATTGGGGACATTGGGGGACACTTGGGGACACCTTGGGGACACTTGGGGACATTGGGGACATTGGGGACATTTGGGGAATTGGGGACATTGGGGACATTTGGGGACATTTGGGGACACTTGGGGACACTCACAGGAACAGGAGCCCCCGGAGCCCCCGGAGAGCTGCAGGGGGGAGGGAGCGGAGCTGGGAGTCCTCCAGGAACCTGCCCAGTACGGACCAGTATGGACCAGTTACAGACCAGTATGGACCAGTACGGACCAGTATGGACCAGTACAGACCAGTACGGACCAGTACGGACCAGTATGGACCAGTATGGACCAGTACGGACCAGTATGGACCAGTATGGACCAGTACGGACCAGTACGGACCAGTATGGACCAGTATGGAGCAGTATGGACCAGTACGGACCAGTATGGACCAGTACAGACCAGTACGGACCAGTACGGACCAGTATGGACCAGTACGGACCAGTACGGACCAGTACTGACCAGTACAGACCAGTACGGACCAGTATGGACCAGTACGGACCAGTACGGACCAGTATGGACCAGTATGGAGCAGTACGGACCAGTATGGACCAGTATGGACCAGTATGGACCAGTATAAACGAGTTACAGACCAGTACGGACCAGTACTGACCAGTACAGACCAGTACAGACCAGTACGGACCAGTACGGACCAGTATGGACCAGTACGGACCAGTATGGACCAGTATGGACCAGTATGGACCAGTATAAACGAGTTACAGACCAGTACGGACCAGTACTGACCAGTACAGACCAGTACTGACCAGTACAGACCAGTACGGACCAGTATGGACCAGTATGGAGCAGTATGGACTGGTACAAACCAGTACAGACCAGTATAAACCAGTACAAACCAATATAACCAGTCCCTCCCAGTTTGTCCCGGTCCCTCCCAGTCCAAACCAGTCCAAACCAGTCCAAACCAGTCCAAACCAGTCCAAACCAGTCCAAACCAGTCTAAACCATTCCAAACCAGTCCAAACCAGTCCAAACCAGTATCCCCAGTATCACTCAAAGGTACTCGAGTGCCCCCAGCCCCATTCCCCGTCCAAACCAGTATAAACCAGTACAAACCAGTATAACCGGTCCAAACCAGTCCAAACCAGTACAAACCAGTATAAACCAGTCCAAACCAGTCCCTCCCAGTATAAACCAGTCCAAACCAGTCCCTCCCAGTATAAACCAGTATAAACCAGTCCAAACCAGTCCCTCCCAGTATAAACCAGTCCAAACCAGTCCAAACTAGTCCAAACCAGTCGTTCCCAGTCGTTCCCAGTCGTTCCCAGTGCAAACCAGTATACCCAGTATCCCCAGTGTGACTCACAGGTACTCCAGCGCCCCCAGCCCCTCGAAGGCTCCGTCCCCGACGCTCCCCAGGCGCCCCGAGGCCACCAGGCTGGGGGAGAGGGGGACATTTTGGGGACATTGGGGACATTTGGGGACATTTGGGACATTTGGGGACATTTGGGACATTTTGGGGACATTTTGGGGACATTTGGGACATTTAGGACAATTTGGGACAATTGGGGACATTGGGGACATTTGGGGACATTTGGGAACATTTGGGGACATTTGGGGACATTTTGGGTCAATTTTGGGGACATTTGGGACAATTTTGGGGACAATTTGGGACATTTGGGGACAATTGGGGACAATTGGGACATTTGGGGACATTTTGGGACAATTGGGGACATTTGGGACAATTTGGGGACATTTGGGACATTTTGGGGACATTTGGGGACATTTGGGATATTTGGGGACATTTGGGGACAATTTGGGGACATTTGGGACAATTTGGGGACAATTTGGAACAATTGGGGCATTTGGGGACATATTGGGGGGTTTGGGGACATTTTGGGAGGTTTTTGGGTCAATTTTGGGGACATTTGGGACAATTTTGGGGACAATTTGGGACATTTGGGGACATTTGGGGACATTTGGAGACAATTGGGGACAATTGGGACATTTAGGGACATTTGGGACATTTTGGGGACATTTTGGGACAATTTGGGGACATTTGGGACAATTTGGGGACAATTGGGAACAATTTGGGGACAATTGGGGCATTTGGGGACATTTTGGGAGGTTTTTGGGTCAATTTTGGGGACATTTGGGACAATTTTGGGGACATTTTGGGACATTTGGGGACATTTGGGACAATTTGGGGACACTTGGGACATTTTGGGGACATTTGGGATATTTGGTGACATTTGGGGACAATTTGGGGACATTTGGAACAATTTGGGGACAATTGGGGCATTTGGGGACATTTTGGGTGTTTGGGGACATTTTGGGAGGTTTTTGGGTCAATTTTGGGGACATTTGGGACAAATTTGGGGACAATTTGGGATATTTGGGGACATTTGGGGTCAATTCTGGGGCAAATTTGGGACAATTTTGGGACATTTTTGGGGACATCGGGGACAAATTTTGGGACATTTGGGGACATTTTTGGGAGATTTTCAGGTCCATTTTGGGGACAATTTGGGCCATTTTGGGGACATTGGGGACACATTTTGGGGACAATTTGGGGACATTTGGGACATTTGGGGGATTTGGGGGATATTTTGGGGGATTTTGGGATATTTTCGGATTTTTGGGATCTTTTGGGGGATTTTTCAGGGGGGATTTTGGGGTTTTTGGTTGTTTTGGGGGGGATTTTTTTGTGTTTTGGGGATCTGGGGGGTTTTTTGGGGTGTTTTGGGGACATTTTGGGGATTTGGGGATATTTTGGGGGATTTTGGGATCATTTGGGGCATTTTGAGTTGGTTTTGGGGGATTTGGGAGATTTTTGGGGTGATTTGGGGATATTTTGGCTGATTTTGGGCCATTTTGGGATATTTGGGGGATTTTGGGGGGTTTTGGGGATTTGGGGGTTTTTTCGTTGTTTTTAGGGGATTTTTTTGGGTTTCGAGGAATTTGGGGGGTTTGGGGGTGATTTTTTGGGGATATTTTGTAATATTTTGGGGGATTTGGGGATATTTTGGGTGATTTTGGGTGATTTTGGGACATTTTGGGATGTTTTTGGATATTTTAGAAAATTTTTGGGATGGTTTTGGGACATTTTAGTGATTTTTGGGACATTTTGGGAGATATTTTTGGGATATTTTTGGATATTTTTGGGATTAATTTTTTTTTGGGACATTTTGGGATGTTTTGGGGGGGATTTTGGGACATTTTGGGATGGTTTTGGGGTGAATTTTTTGGGATATTTTTGGAGTGATTTTGGGACATTTTGGGAGATATTTTTGGGATATTTTGGGATATTTTTGGGATGGTTTTTTTTGGGACATTTTGGGATGTTTTGGGGGCATTTTTGGGGCGTTTTTGGGGGATATTTTGGGATATTTTGGGATGTTTTGGGGGGGTTTTGGGGGCGTTTTTGGTGCGTTTTGGGGGTGTTTTGGGGGATATTTTGGGATATTTTTGGGGTGATTTTTTGGGCCATTTTGGGGTGATTTTGGGGTGTTTTGGGGCGGTTTTGGGCCATTTTGGGGATTTTGGGGACTCACAGCAGCGTCAGCGCCGGGAGGTGCCGGAAGCTCCCCTGGGGCAGCTCCTCGATGTCCCAGCGGAGCAGCGAGCTGGAAATGGGGGAAAAAACGGGAAAAACGGGGAAATTGGGGGGAAATGGGAAAAATTGGGGGAAAAACTGGGGAAATGGGAAAATTGGGGGAAAAAACGGGAAAAAAACGGGGGGGAAGTGGGAAAAATTGGGGCAAAAAAAAGGGAAAAATGGGAAAAATTGGGGGAAAAATGGGAAAAATTGGAAAAATTGGGAAAATTGGGAAAAATGGGAAAAGAATGTCAGAAAATGGGAAGAATTGGGGGGAAAACAGGAAAAAAATGGGAGAAGTTGGGGAAAAATGGGGGGGAAAACGGGAAAATGGGAAAAGTAGGGAAAAATTGGGAAAATTTGGGAAAAATTGGGAAAATTGGGAAAAAAAACGGGAAAAGAATGGGGAAAATGGGAAAAAATGGGGGGAAACTGGGGAAAATGGGACAAAATGGGAAAAAAATGTGAAAAATGGGAAAAACTGGGGGAATTTGGGATGAAAATTGGAAAATTGGGGAAATTTGAGTGGAATTTTTAGGAAATTTGTGGAAAATTTAGGGAAATTTGAAGGATTTTGGGGAAGATTTGGGCGGAAAATGGGAAAAGTGGGGGAATTTTGGGGATTTTGTGAGAATTTGGGGAAAAATTGGGGGAAATTTCTGGTGAAATTTGGGAAAATTGGGAGAATTTTGGGGGGAAATTGGGGGAATTTTGGGGAATTTGGGGAAATTTGGGGAAAATCGGGGAAATTTGGAGGGAAATGGGAAAATTGGGGTGAATTTCAGGGAAATTTGGGGAATTTGGGGGGAAATGGGAGAATTGGGGGAATTTGGAAAATTTCAGGGGAATTTTTGGGGGGTCCCAAATTTGGGGGATTTTGGGGTTTGGGGGGTCCCAAATTTGGGGGGATTTGGGGGATTTTGGGGGGATTTGGGGTCCCAATTTAGGAGCTCATGGGGTTTTCGGGTCCCAAATTTGGGGGATTCTGGGGGGTCCCAAATTTGCAGGATTTTGGCGGATTTGGGAGGTCCCGGGGGAGATTTTGGGGTTCCAAATTTGGGGGGTTTTGGGGGGGTCCTGGGGTGTTTGGAGACACAATTTTGGGGGGATTTAGGGATTTAGGGGGTCCCGGGAGGGATTTTGGGGGGTGCCAGGGTGGATTTTTGGGGTTTCAAATTTGGGGGATTTTGGGGTCCCAAATTGGGAGGATCCCGAGGGGATTTTGGGGGCTCCAGATTTGCGGGATTTTGGGTTTTGGGATCTCCCAAATTTGGGGGGATTTTGGGGGTTCCGGGGAGGATTTGGGGTACCAATTTGGGGGATTTTGGGGGGCCCCGCGCGGGATTTTGGTGCTCCAAATTTGGAAGATTTTGGGGGGTCCCTGGGGATTTTGGGGCTCACAAATTTGGGGGATTTTGGGAGATCCCGGGTCGGTTTTGGGCTCCCAAATTTGGAGGATTTTGGGGTATCCCGGGCTGGATTTTTGGGGGTCCCGGGGGGGATTTTGGGCTCCCAAAATTGGGAATTTTTGACCTCCCAAATTTGCCGGGACCGTTCCAAAGGAGGGAAAACGGGGGGGAGGGAGGGGGGGGGAGGGAAAGGAGCTCAAGGGAACCCCAAAATCTCTTTTGGGGTGGGGTCCCCGAATTGGGGGGGGGGGGGTCGGGGCACTCACAGCGTGGCCAGGCCCGGGGGGAGCCCCCGGGGGACGCCCCCGGCCCCCCCCCGGCAGCGGGCGTTGGTTCGGTCGCAGTCGCAGCCCCCGGGACAGGCCACGCCCCCTTTGGGGACCCCCCCAAAAACCGGGACCCCCCCAAAAACCAACGGGACCCCCCCAAAAACCAACGGGACCCCCCCGAAAACCAACGGGACCCCCCCAAAAACAAACGGGACCCCCCCAAAAACAAACGGGACCCCCCCGGAAACCAACGGGACCCCCCCGAAAACCAACGGGACCCCCCCAAAAACCGACGGGACCCCCCCGGAAAGCACCAGGAGGGCCCCGAGAAGGAGCAGGGGAGGCATGGGGGGGGGGGGTCTCCAAAAAAGGGGGAAATTCCTAAAAAAAGCCCCCAAAAAATTCCTAAGAATTCCCCCCCCCAAAAAAAATCCCAAAAAAGCACAAACAATGAAAATAAATTCCCAGAAAAAGCACCGAAAAAATCCCGAAAATTCCCCCCAAAAATCCCAAAAAAGCACCAAAAAAACCCCCAAAAAAATTTCAAAAAGCACAAGAAAATTCCCAGAAATTCCCCAAAAAAGGGAAAAATTCAAAAAAAATCCACAGAAAAAGCACA